CATGGTGCAGCACATGTGGGCCGAGGCGGCCGGGCCTGCGGGCGGCGCCGAGCCGCTGTTTCCGGGCTCCCGACGGAGCCGTAGCGTGTGGGACGCCGTGCGCCTGGAGCTGGGAGTACCCGACAGCTGCCCGGTGGTGCTGCACAGCTTCACGCAGCTCGACCCCGATCTACCGCGCCTGGAGGTGGGTGAGCTAGAGTGGGCCCCAGACCAGCCCCCATGGCGGGGCGCGACCGGAGCGGAGCGACCCACGGGCAGAGCGAGGCTGACGGGGGCTAGGAGTAGAAGGGCGTCTGTCACTCCTTAGCGGGTCACCCCCTTTCAATATAGATGCGTCTGTGGTCTTTCCACAGAAATCCACTTCTTTGCTCAATCCCCAAGACAACAAAATGGGCATGAGGGCTGCTAGCACCTTGGCCCAACAGTTTAGGGGCTAGAGCTGGGTTTTCATGTCCCCTCCTCAATTCCATACCGGGGCCTGCTCTCACCAGCCCAGGCGTGCCTACCGGAGCTTCTGCATCACCGGAGTAGACCTTTTCCCACTGTGCTGTCACTGTTTATGTCTGTGGCCTCGGCACTGGCCTGTGCATTTCTCTACTGCAGGGGCTGGGTCCTATTTCATCTCCCTTGCGGGAGGGTGGGGGCTTGAAGGGGGATGGGGAGGGCAGCAGCCGGCACTGTCAGGCTTCCTGGTGGAGATAGCAGACAGTGGTTTGGTTAGCAAAATCCTAGATCCTCAGAGATGTTTGGGATCACAGAACCTTCCGTACATACCTCTTGGGGCCAATATTGACCTGATGACCAGGGAGACATCAAGGTTGCTGGGGGTGGGGGGTGGGGTGCAGTGTGTGCAGAACTCCAAAATGTGGGGCAGATGTCCTGGCAGTGAGGGGACAGGTCCTCTCGGGCCAAAGGGGTGATTCATTTCTGTGTGATCAGAAAATGTGCCGACACCTTGATTTTCTAAGGATTTGGGAGGATCTAGGCAAATGGGCGTGTGTGTGCCTGTCATGGATGGGGACGGGCAGCTGGGGGAGGGCCTGGGACTTCTGTTTATAGTGTGCCCTGGGCAGAGGGACCTAGTGGATCACCGGGGAGTCATGGGGAAGTACCCTCTGCCTCCTGCCTGCCTCGCTCCTGGCTCCTCTGCAGTGGAGGCTGTGAAAGCAGTGAAATGCGGTGCTGTGCCTCTCACCTGCTCTACATGGGACCTAGACCCAGGGCTGATAGAACCCTTTGGGCCAGAGATTCAGAGCAAGCCTAGGTTTTGCCTTGTTCAAACTTTAGCAGTGAGGTTCCTGGCCCCTGTGCTGCTTAGGACCCCTTGATGCTTCCTCAGCCCCTTCATCAGTGTAGGCCGTGAGTGCTTTGTAATAGCTGTTGGTGGGGTGGAATGGGGGTTGGTATTCGTCTCCAGAGAGCCTAGGTCCTGTGCCTCTGTGTATTTCTATTACCTGGATAGCACCTGGATGCGTGTTTGCAGAAGGATAAAGGTGTTTCTCTGCCCATCTTGGGAGGTGGGCAGGAGGTAGGAGGGCTCTTGGACAAGAAGCATGCAGGGCTCTTGGAGGGTGAACCCAGGGCTGGGAGATCTTTTCCTCCTGAGCTTGGCAGGTGGTAGGGCCAGGATGATCCCATCCCTTCTTCACCCAGAGCTGCAGTCCTCACTGGCAGCTGGAGTGGGACCCCCAGGAGGGTGGGATGGGAGGCCTGACACCAGCCCAGTGCTCATCTGGCTTTCATTATGTCTGGCAGCAGCTTGGGCTTTGTGTGCTGGGAGGGTCCCGCCTGAACTCACACAGGGGCCTAGCAGGTTCCTGGCTGGAGTGGGTGGAACTCGACCGCTTCCCTCTCTCTGTCCATCTGCACCCTAAGGAACCCCAGGGAGAGGCAGGTCTGAGCTCTTTCCCTGCCCAGGGATCTGCCTTCCATCTCTCTTGCTGCCATTCTCCCTCATCCGGCCTCAGTGCTGGGATCCAGGCCGTGGTTGCTGTTTAGAAATCAAGGGGGAAGCTTCTGGCTGGGTCAGGAAAGCCAGGGTCCTGCCAGGAGAGAAGGCCACTGCCGGAAACCAAACACAGTGACCATTTACCATGGGCCTGGGGGAGGGGGCAGGGAAGTCCCTGTCCCTCCTGCCAGCAACCCCTCCACCCCCACCCTGGGGCTGATTTCCTGGCTGCAGTAGCGTGCCAGAGCTGAGTGATGCTCTGCTTGTGGTCCCTGTCCCCTCTGGGAAACCACCAGACGGCTGCCTGCCTTCCCTACCCCCATCCCCATTTTCCTACCAAGCCTCCGCCCAGTCCTTCCCTCTCTAGGCTGCCAGATGTTGTACATCTGGGCATCTGCTCATCATCTCGATTCTAACCGAGCTTGACCCCACTTGGTCTGTGCAGTTCTGTGCTTTCTAGAGGTCACCTTGTCCATGTCTCTGCCTGCGGGCAGACCACTTCCCTAGCCAGGTAAGCCATGTTGTCTAGTCTGTAGTACCTACTGGCTGCAGGCACTATCAGCTCATTCCATCAGGCTTAACCAGCCCTACAGAGTAGCTGCTAACCCGCTTTAAAAGAAACATAGGATCAGAGGGGCCAAGTCCCTGATCTTCAGGCATAAGAGGCAAAACCTAATGCAGTCAGGATTCTGACAAGGGCTGTGTTCTTCTCTGGGGGTCTGCTGTGAGCAGAGCCTGCATGCATCAGAGAAGGGCGGGGCTGAGCTAGCTGTCAAGGGAATTGTAAATGTATGGACAAGACCCAGCAGCCCATTAAGCTCCAGGGGTCAGGCTAGGGGTAGAGATGTGTCTAGTCTAGAGGAAGGCCAAAGGGCTTTTGGCTAGAAGGCATGAGGAGAGCTTCCGGAGGAGGCTAGATCCCAAAGGTTTAAAATAATAGGTAATACGAGGGGCCTTTATTGGAGACCCTGCCCTGAGCATTTGCATGCATTGTGTTCTTTTGTGGTCAGTATTCTTAATAGTCCATTTAACAGATGAAACAACTGATGCACTACAGGTTAATTTGTTGTTGTTGTTGTTATGTGCCATCGAGTCAGCCCTGACTCATAGCGACCCCTCCTTGGGTTTCCGAGGCAGTATCACTAGGGAAGTAGGATTGCCCAACCTTCCTTCCGAGGAGTGGCTGGTGGGTTTGAACCGTCAGCCTTCTGGTTAGCAGTCAAGTGCCTTAGCCACTATGCTACCAGTTAATTAGGTCTCATATAAAGTCAAATGAGGAGCTCTGGTGGTGTAGTGCCTAAGGCATTTGACTGCTAAACAGAAGGCTGGTGGTTCAAACCCACCAGCCCTCCTCAGAAGGAAGACTGGGACATCTACTTCTGTTGAGATACCCCCTTGGAAACCCAAGGAGGGGTCACAATGAGTCATAATCAACTTGACAGCAGTGAGTTTGGTTTGGTTTGGTATAAAATCACTGAGCTAGTAGTAAGAGGTAGAGGTGAGATTCCAACCCACGCAATGTTAATTGAAGGCCTGAGCGCAGGTCTAGGAGGAATGGATGAGGAGGGCTTCTAGCTTTGGGGGTAGAGCTGCCTGGGGAAGAGAGGGTCTCCTCTTAGTCCCCTGGCCTCCTTCCTGGTTGTCTGCTCTCTTTTGACCTTACTACGTTTAACCCAGAGCTTATTAGCATCTTTGACACTGGGACTCGAGAGGGGTGCCTGAAGTAATGTGTCTCTGCATGTATTTGCATGTTTTATAACATGTAACACATTTTGTAAGGAGATCTGGTGGTGCAGTACCTAAGGCATTTTTTGACTGCTACCAGAAGGTTGGTGGTTCAAACCCACCAGCCGTTCCACGGAAGGAAGATGGGGCTTACCTACTTCTATAAAGATTTACTGCCTCAGAAACCCAAAGAGGGCTGCTATGAGTTGGAATTGACTCGATGGCAGTGAGCTTGGTTTTTGGGGGAATATGTTTTGTAAGCTGTGAGGAGGGCCTTTCGGCTGACTCCAAAGGCATAGCCTCTAGGAGCTGTAGGGACTGTCATGTTCAGGCAGGGACTGACTGTCTCCACAGGGTTCCCACAGGTCGTCTGGTGCCCCTTTTGCTTCACTCCTCTGGAGATCCTGGAGAAGAGGCGGGCAACCAGGATGGCTGGTACTGGGTCCTTGTTTTTGGAGGACAGGCCAGGAAACTTTAGGTGGGGGACACTTAGGCATCCTGCGCTGTTTCTCAGGAGACTCAGGGTGGCTTTGGGGCAAAAGTGGGTGGCAGGGGCAGTGCCGGGAGGTGCTGGACTGCTCGGTGGCAAGACTGGGAGCCGAGCCTCAGCCTGGAAGCTGGCCTTTTCTAGGTTCTGCTCTGGGAGCCTCTTGCCTCCCCTCGGCCTAGCGGCGTGATGGGGCTGGAGTTCAGGGCCAGTTTTGCACCGGTCCTCTGCACTGGGCATCAGCAAGCACCAAAGGAGTGAGTGGGTAGTTTCAGGAGGCTGCACCCAGCTGTTGGAGGTCTGGCTTCCAGGGGCTGCTGGCTGGCTGCCCAGACGGCTCCCACAGCGTGGCACTGCGTGGTGTGGGCACCCTGTTCCAGGTTCGGCTCCAGTCCAGCAGGCCCAGAGACGCTGTATTCCCAGACACACAGGCCCAGCAGAGCAGCTCTGCAGTCTGATTCAGAAGTGGAAGCTGAAACCTAGGGCCTAGTGCAGGAGTTACTAAATGGGGCAGGGGCCAGAAGTTTGCTTGGTAAGCTCTGCAGGAGGGCAGGGAGCAAGGGACTGTGCTTAAAGAGTAGTTGGCTGTGGGTGCTGTGCTGTCACTTTCCCTCTGCTACAGGAGCCATTTGGTGCTTATATAACCTTCCCTGCAGGCTCCTTAAGAAGCATGTTGTCCTTTTGAACCAAGAGGCCTTGTCAGGTATGGTAGTCAAGTGGTTGGGCTCTAGAGGGAAGTGAGCTGCTAAACCAAAATGTGGGCTTGGCCCTAGACCTGTTCCAGCTCTCCAGGCCGCAGTCTCCTCATCTGTAAAATGGACATTATGCTGGTTCTTCCTCTTAAGATCAAGAGCACTGATGAGACAAGCAGCGTGACAAACAGTCCACACAGTACCTGGCACAGAGTCAGAGCCTGACACGCCACAGTTGTGCTTTCTGACTGTGTGCCAGCAGCCCTGGCATTTGGCACTTTTGTCAGCCCTGGTGGGAGGAGTGTCAGGCCTAAGCCTTCAGAGCACCCAGT